CGTGCGCGCAGTTCCTCAAAGAAGCGATCGCTATGCTGCTTGCATCAATTTACACGGGCCTGATGACAAGTCGCCAACTCCCACTGTTATGCTTTGTTATGCTTTCAATTTCGACGTTTGCACGCTTTGAGATTGTTAACATTCCGCTGCTCTGTAGGTACGTTGGCGAAGGAATGGAAGAAGGCGAGTTTTCGGAGGCAAGAGAGGATATGGCAGCGCTTGAAAAGGACTACGAAGAAGTGGGTGCCGACTCTTTCGACCCGGCCGAGGAGGAGTACTGAAGATCGCATCAGATTTATGTTGATTATTGTTAAACTTTGATAATTTGACATGTGAATCTTCAAATAAATTATATCAACGCCCACAATAACTCAAATCTAACTTTTCCCTTTCGTGCATACTCTTGGCATCCGACAATTAGTGATGTTTCATAGAATGTGTATTACAGATAGGGTGTATTAAGTTTCGAAACACACTAGCAGTTTGGCTTACAGTTAGAGTGTCGAACAGCTAACTATCGATCGAAGCAACAGAACCAAATAAGCTAAGGTCTACTACCGCTCTGTGTTTGTTTGTGCTTATTGTTATCAATCTGCTCTCACCTTTGCTCCTCTTTCGTGCCATTCTTACAGTGGTGTACAGACTTCACACTTTTGCATTGCAGCATTCCTTTGATGCTCATACGATCATACCCGCCCACTTCCCTTCATTTCTTTAATACCTCTGTTTTATTCGCCCTTTCTTTCGACGGCTCACCTTACTGGCTTCAGCATTTCTGCCTCCAAAATGATGTAATTCTCGACGAAAGTCCTACCTATCGTTACAAACTTTCTAGGTACATATATATCCAATGCGATAACAATGCTCCAACTGGGATTTTCGTATATGACGGCAAAGCCACAACTTTTCTTCTTATCTAAAACATTGTCGTAGTAAGATACTTGAGACGGTCCTTATATCGAATATGAAATAGATCCGCTCTCACAAATACCCCGTCTGCTTACCCTAGTTCAAGTCAGCTGTATAGCTGACCTGAACTCGCCCTACCTGGCCCACTAGCAGTGAGTTGACGGTGATGCCTAAAGAGGCTCATTGTGATTTTGGTTACCCACCAACGTGATCCCGTTCCACTATCTACATCCCTTGTTAACCCTTTGACGACAATGCGGATTTGCACGTAGCGTGCTCGTGGGACCACGCCTCTTTTTGGCGCGCCCAACTCTCGCACAAAATGGGGCAAAATTGTCCCTAAAAGCAGTTTTTCTATCAAAATTTTGACTATGACAATAAACAAAATATGACTGCAGTCTTAAGCTTTATGATCATGTATTGTTGGAATTAGAAGTGGAAGTTTGGAAAGAAATCTCGGATTTCAAAGGGATGGTGTTTGAAAACTCTAGAAGTTCAAATGTACAGTAGAATTTTTGATATAGTTCAAACTCCTCCTTGTGTCTTAAGACTGTGAAAAGACGTAGAGGTCCTGATCTGTAATTCACCTTAAGCTTAATAATGTAAAACACTAGTTAATACATCGCCGAGCGAAGTGCCATATCCTAAAATTTCATATAAATTAGCTAGTAACAAACATTTCTGCAAAATATGCTAAACATAGGCGTAACGGAGCTTGCTTATAATTACTGATATGTTGAAAATGTTTTAAATGGGTAAAGAAGAAAATTTTAGGGTGGCACCCACCATTGGGTGCCATTGTCCCACGCGACGGTCATAGTGGCACCCACCGGTGGGTGCCATTGTCGCCAAAGGGTTAACGAACGCGTCACTGCTGCTGGAACACGTGCCATGAATTTCGTGTCATACACGGACACACGCACACACAGACATGGCACTTTGCATATGCTAGGGATTATTAATAAGGTGTTGCACTATAATAGTTTCGTCAGACTTACAAAATGAGCATAGAACTATGGTTTTTAACACAATGGTCTTTTCTCAAAACTTTTCGGTGTTCCCACGATTTACATTTTTTCGCTGAAACACCTCTATAAGGCGGATGTAAACAAGCACGGAAGTCCTGGTCATCTCGCGAGAACATGTTGAACTTCATTTGTTCTCGAACAAGTGGCTTGATGCTGCACAAGACAGACATATACTCTGATCCAGTACAGGACAGAAATTTGAACCGCCCACCCGCTGAGAGTTGAGAATAGTACTATAGTCGCGTAAGTCGAGGTTGAAGCCTATTAATCTCTTCTACAATGTCACCACATTATGCCGCTTGCTTTGGCTCCAGGACAAACAAAGGCAGACACTAAAATATTACATCGTAAGGAAGAAGCTACCATTGCCAGAGCCTTTCAGGCCCTCATGTGAAAGTATATCTTGAAAGAATAAAACATGCGTCATCAGTACTACTGATGTATCAATAAGTATAAACCAGGTTAAATACAGCAGCGTACACAATCGAACCTGCCGCAACACAAGAAAAGAAAGACATTCAGGATCCGTGCATTCGGCATTAGCCGACTTGTCGCCAAAATGTCTTGAAGACAGTTGACAAGTTGTTAACATATTGACAACAGCGTTGACCTTCATACATCCCCAGCAAGTACACTTGCTTAACCAAGGCACCGCAATTTACAACCGCCATGAAAATCTCTGCCCATTGCAAATAACCCGAGAAACGCCTTCTTCATCCGTTGATTTCCGCATTGATGCGAACTGCGTCGAAATACCCTTTTCAACGCTCTCTCCATAGCGAGTCTGCTGCACTCGACGTGCGGCACTGAGCACAAGCCCCAGAGAGATTGCGATAGGATTCTGTTGTGCTCATAGTGGAAGTGAAGATGCTGAATAATGCCCTAGTAGCGAAAAAAGCAAAGAAATCCGTCAAAAACGCGCAAAATGGGACCACTTCCTCTGCCCGTTGACCTCCGATAATGGACGAGTTGGCAACCAACTAAGAGGTCGTCGGCACTCGTTAAACCATAGCTGCCATCATACCACCAGAGATCATACCTTGATTGATATAGCATTCCATGAGAAAAAAATTGGATACGCGCTCGAAGTGGCATACCTTATCAGAATGATAATCGAACAGCGATCTGCTGAGGGGCGGAGCACAGGCGGAGGCGGAGCTCAGAAAGGATTTGAAGCAAGACCAAACGGTACAACCCCCCCCCCAGCAGCGCCATGTGCGCGAGCAAGAAGCCAGTAGTCCGAACGAAGTCGTAGCGCGTGAAGCGATGTAAGACTACAATGGAACACGCTCTCATTCAACTCATGACGCGAACTCTTGCCGAGTACGCGGCGCAACTCGTCCCGCTGACGTCGGCCTTTCTGTCGCGCCCGACCACGGCCCTCCTGCGGTACCGGGTCAGCCCAGGGCGGCTGCAACACGAGCGCCACCTTTTAAGTCACCATACAGGCCAAATCTGCGATGTCCTTTGGGCAAGCTAGCTCAATCGCTTGAAAGTGCTTGATCTCTGTTCTTCACGCATGCTGCACACGAATTCATATCGCTAATTTCTCGGCTTGGAACTACTAGTTATGTCAGTGGGCGTACCGAAGCAATACGCCCAACGGAGTGAGCCCACTGCTGAAACGACGACTTTTGCGGCAATTCCCCCCGTAGTCACCCGCACGCTCAGTCCGTCCTGAGGAACGTCCGCCTCCCGTCTCCGCCTACTACGGCGATTCTTCCTCTGTCTCTTTTTCCGACTTTCCGAGAGTTTTCATCGTGGAATCCTCCCTCACTACCACTCCCATCATAATGAAACGCACAGTGCTTCGTAGGACCTACATAGCCTGTTACCAACTAACAAATAGGTTCCACAACGGTGTGAGAAAGATTTAGCCACTCAAGACACATAATTCTCTAAACTATCAAAATTAGCAACGCTGCGACCTTTATGACTTTAGGGTTACATAGCTAAACTCGAGATCCGAAAGTTGGGGTAGGCGTGTCACCGGAAGTGACATGTACTTGATAGAAGCTGTGGAAGTGCTGGTGCTTCCAATACATCGCTGAAGGACATTATATGCAAAGCAATAAGCAGGCATTTCGACTTATCCACGCACATTTCTATCCAACGCAACCAGCGTCACATCTCCGGAGCAAGAGCCTAACCGCCAACCCCTGTTCGATCCCCCTTCGACTGTGTAGTACTGCGCAAGTCCTACGGCGGCAGGTACTTGTTAATTTTGCAATTTTGTAACAACATAACGTTTATTCCCTCCTTGACAGATCGAAAAGAATCGCAAATGACAAGAGCTGGGATCGGAGGCAGCCCGGAGCCCCGGAGGGCGGAACACCTTAGCGAAACAATGGCCACTGCCATGAGGCTAGCCAGGTTGAAGCTGAACGCCTACTTTTACTAGATGGTCGATTATGAGGTTGGATAGGAGTTCAGTCCCTTCGCAAGCAACTAGTAGACAACTACTTGTGAATGACCAAATCATGTGTCCTTATACGTCATGCCATCTGTGAAAAAACAAGCACTTTGTTATCAGAGAGTCTTCAACCACGCGACTGCCCTTCGTGTGGTGGAGCAGACCAAAGCAACTGTGCTTCGACGCGTTCTATCTTCGTGATTTCTCCTCTTATCGCACTAAATCTCATCCGCTATTTGCTCACAGACTCTCTTATTCAACCTCTCCAGTAACATGCTTATGAAATTAAGGTCGCAGAATGTGTCGGAACGGCGTAAGTGTTCGCGTAGAAATGGCCCAAATAAACAATACTCTCCAAAAAATCCCTCCGAAGCGAGATAATAAAGCCCAGCGAAACGCTACATGTTTCCCTGGTCTACCGCTGACCTAAAGTCGATTAGTTTCTTACTTTAGGACAGGCTCTAGCTTGCTGCGCTCCAACAGTAGAAACTACTATTATCGACCCCGACACCCCCATCACCAAAACATTAGAACAGGAACCAAGTACGTCCCGTGGAACGAGTCTCAAATCATAATGACTGCTTGTAGAAAAGCTGCCTAGGTCGCCATACAAACCAAGTGATGTTTGACAAATTCCTCTCAAGAGTGAATCAATTCCTTGGCCTACTCACTACACAATCCGACTATTTGTTAAGACCACTTCCTTCAGAGCTCCCGTAACAGACTTGGTCGGAAACCAAGAAATGAGAATCAGAAATATGCTGAAGTTAGATTGTTTGAAAACCTAGAAAAAAAGTCACTCAGAGTAGCTCAAAGCAGGGTTAACCGTTCTTGTCCGAAAGTTCCACGACAGGGGAGGACTGTTGGAGGACCTTTGTGATCAATGGAAACGGGTCGCAAGCGCAAGGGAAAGCCACGGAATTAGAATGGCCTAGAGCACAGTAAAGCAGCAATGAAGAGCAGGTGTGCAGAAGTAGCTGCAACCACTAACCAAAAGAGAGTACATAACATAGCGGGAATCGCCCTTGAAACCCTTCGTATATCAGTGACTTTGTGCAAACAGAACTGATTTTTTGTAAGAAATCTCGATGCTTCTATGCGAAGTCAAAGTGTGAAAGAGTGTAACGAATTCGTCGAATTCACTTCCGAATTCCTAATAGAAAATTCTGACGTAGGAATTTGCTTCATTCTAGCGATTTAGTGGAAGCCATCATACGTATGAAGGGATAATCATTTTGTCTCCAATGGTTTATCCCATGAAAATTTTTAAAAAACTTATGAGCCTAATTTCTGTCTGTTTCTTCTGCCGTTCGAGGTTGGAAGGTGGAACATTTATCCACTTCTTAGGCCCAAACTTTAGGAATAAACAACAAGAAACAAACAGAAATAGGAATGAACAATTCCGAGGTTTCGAGAAGAGTGAAGCTGGAGACTACTTACGAGCTTAGCTTAGAAGTTTAAAAAATTGCTTTCGAAAAGGAGGGCTCAAAAAACAAGAAAGAAACCGAACGACCGCACTATCTATTTTTTTGAAAGTGCATTTTCAGAAAAAGTTTCAATGAAATTTCGAGAACTTTAATCCTGTAGCTCTTTATGTCTTGAATACCTTTAGAGGCCCGCAAAAACGTGGTCGTGAAAAGATAGCATTGAACGCAGAAGAAATTGAAATTCTTGAAAACCAGACTGCAAGTTAAAAAAACGGAACAGCGAGAATTCTGCAAGAAGGATCTTTCAGGAATGTTGCAGTGATATTTGGAAGCTCCAACATCTTTGATTTTTCTTCGCCTTAGAGACTTGCAAAAAGTTGGCTATGAAGGAGGTCGGGAGCATTCGAAGTTGAAAACTCCAACGTACACAGAAAAAAACAACGAGTAGATTTTTTCGAGGAACTGAACATTCGAAACCGTTTAAACACTTCTTGAAAGGAAACAGGTCATCTCTTCTGAATGTCCTACCTCTTAATATAGAAGGTGTTTGAAGAAAGGTATACCCTTCGTATGAGGTGGTTTGTAGTTATTTCAAAACTTAGTTGTTGATTTTACTTCACAGCAATTAGTCCTACATTGTGGAAATGTTTTGAATCAACGTTTTGAATTCTTTAGTTCTTGTGACCCAAATTCATTTTCACCTGAAAAGGTCCATAGCCATGGAACGCATCGAGTCTCTAAAACTGTTCAGGTGGACTCATCACCGAGATGAAGTTTCTATATTTGTTCGCTCTACTCATTGTGCTGTTCGCAATGGTTCATTCCTTAAAAGTCAGGTATGTCGAAGGCCGTACATGATGGAACGCAGCATTATATGATGCTAGTTAGTTCATATCCATCGGCAGAACCAATATACCTTCAATATTTTCTGAAAAATGCATTATAGGAAACCAAAGAGAGAGACTGTCTACGTGCAGTTGCCGCCAGAGGTACCCGGAGGTGAACCAAGATATGTCAAAGCACCGAAAGTAAGCCTATATTGAACTCAAACAATTATGTTACATGTTCTCAATGAACACTCACTGTGCTAATGCTTTGTCGAGTCTCTTTGGGACCGAATCTAAAGAGTAGTAGTTATTAAAAAAGAGAACTCATAAGCTCATGGTGGACTTTGAAACATGCACGTTCTTGCTCATTATTGCTGGGCTATGTCTAGAGGACCTGTCGAAGGATAAAGTGATCGGTGTCGATGATTCTGGCCTGGGTGCGCCACTTATTTGAATTCTGGACGTCAGGGTGTATTTTCCCACTATGGTTGCCTAACGGAATCCACCAAGGTGATGCGAATAGTGATATTAAAGTGCGGAAAGACATACATTATTTCAGTCCACAATAGGTAAGACATCCTCTGAACATTGAGTAGCTCCGTCGACCTCGACAGAATTTCACACAGAAATCAGGCGCGTTGATCGCGGCAAAACCTCTTTTGTGCCACCTTCGCATTTGAGAAGGAAATTCTTTCCTGATAACCTGAGCTTATCGGAGCATTCACGATACTTGACCTAGTCTACTAATTCCCAGAACAAATTCTTTAGATTCACCAAAAAGAGATTCACCAAAAAATAAAGGAGGTCAAGGGCTGCACCCTGCCTATCGGTAGGCAGGGCTCAACGTAGCTCATTTGGGCTCGGTACATCCTGTTCAATGCCTCACTCGCCGTACATGATCCTGAATTTCCAGTTCTCCAAGTACTACCAAATTTCGTGACAGAACTAAATAAACAAACAAACTACACTTCCAGAAGATGAAACACTGTAAAAGCAAATCGCAAGCTCTTTTTTGATAGACTGGTTTACAAGAGAAAGTTGCGGTAATTTTATTGGCAAAACTGAAAAACAATTCAAAAAAGTCACGAAAATCACAAGATATAGCTCCCCACGAAACGATCCCTCGGGTTTCCTAACGGAGGCTCTTCGACATAAAGCAGCAATGAAGAAAATTATATAGTTATAATTACAAATTATGTATTATTATTATTAATTGTAAATTATAACTTTTATTATTTATAATTTTAAATTATGATTTTATTGAAGTTGAAAACCCAGATGTGCAGAAATGTTTACAATGGTTTTTCTGAGAAACTGCTTTCCAAGAATGTTCCAACATCTGCAACGAGCTAGTGATCCATAAGTCTTGCAATAAACCGGCTTAATTTTGATTTTAATATTTTCATTATCTTTTTGTTCCATTCATCCAGCATGATACACACCATCAATATCTACAACCTATTGCCAACGCACTAGAAGCTGTTCGATGCCTCTCTTGTAGAACTCTACTGAATTCTGATCGAAGAAAGATCAGATGTCGATTTTGACATCATGATGGTTAGGATGAGATTTTCTTCTCTAGGAGGTGGTCTTGGAGAGGGGCAGCAGGTTTGGCACGAGGTCAGGGCTATAACGTGGATACAGAAGAACTCTCCGTCCTAGAGTCTCAAAATTTTCCTGAATTTTCTTAGCAAGAGGTGGTTCAACGGTGTCATACAAAAAGCAAACTTTGCCTTTTTCTTTCGTATTAAAAGCGTTGCATTCGAGCTGTGGATAGTTGACTTTCGCGTTGACTGCGACATCTACACGTAGGGGTTTCCAGAGCTCAACTCCTCTCGTGTTCCACCAAAAATCCGAGAAGGCCCTACTTGGACGAGGTTGAACTTAGCAGTAAGATCTCCCGAAGCGTTTGAGCTGGACTACCGCCGCTTGTTCATTTGTTAGCAAACTGTACCCACTCCTCATCTTCGGCAAATGTGATGGATGGTCAATCGTAGAATCCCTAGTAAGTCGACTTGAACATAACGGTGTCAGATCGTGTTTGGAGCTGATTCGGGCTCAAGGCATGTGGGTTCACTGCAATTTTCGAAAGACTTGTAAAGATTCGAATCTATTTTCGAATCTTCACAAGTCTTTGGAGATGCCACAATGCTGTCTCCTTGTCGCATCGGAATCGCTCTAGCAAATGATCGATACTCTATCCAGATCCCTTTTCAACAGCGTCAGATAGAGCATCGTGATTGTCAGTCACAGGGTGGTTGGAGTGTGGATCATTTTCAAATAAAAAAGTCAACGCTGAGCAGAGTGAAGCGCCGTGCACCGTGAATTGAGAGAGCGTGCCCTCGCCCATCTTCTGGCTAATCCTTGGTGTAGCATGACTTGCGGAACATTCCAAGCAGTACTCGTAAAAATTAAGGGCACGAAGAGCTTTTCGCGAAATCGGTGTAATATCCATAACAAGTAGCGAGACAACGAGCTGGACGGTTGGCTGAAATTGCAAAGGTGGATGCTACGTCAACAAACATGTTGCGGAATTTTCGGAGTTCTCACAAAAATTCTCTAGCATTAAATGTAATTTGTTGCAAGACTTATGGACCAACCTAATACTTTCTCGAAGCAGTCTCTGAGTAGCTTTTTTGTCTCGGAAACGAGTGACTAGGTAAAAGGGTCAGGCGGAGACCGTCCTTCAGGGGGGAGGGTAAAATCTATGTATAGAACTTGGAGTCTTGCCAACACCATGGTTAGGTAGGTGCTCGTTTTATTGTTTTGGCGCCTGCCTTGATTTCACCTGCTTCACTGCGGAAACCTGCTCTTCAAGTTTCATACTATGGCCTTTACATATCTGATCTATCATTCTATACATACAGGAGTACGATCCTCGTGAGTGCAGTGACAGTCTATAACCACATGTACTCCTATGACATATGTATGTATGTGGCCTGGATTGGTGGAAATATTGAAAGGAATCGACTAACTTGGAGAGTCGCTTGGTAGAATTACGAGCAGTGATGAGAACCACCTTCTCTAGCCACCTATAATGGCGCACATCTTACTTCAGTTGGTCAGTGCGGAAGGCGAAATATGCATATTTTTCTTCTAAAACGTCATATGAATGCTGGCGCCATCTGAATAGCTACACTGGTACATGTGGGTGATGTAGGGAAGATGAGAAGCTAACAATGCTCATGCTAACCTAGCACATCGGCTCCAATAATCTGGAAGTAGGGCTCAAGTTGTTTGTTTTTCAAATTAGCTTCTTTAAAGGTGATGACAGAGTACGACAAATGCAAAATGGAGTGCAAAAGGCAAAGAGATGCTCAATACCGCAAAGAGGTATGGAATAGGTGGTGATTATTGACCTGAACTCATGCTAATGATTTCAGCACATAGCCGCCCTACGTGAGGAATTGGCAATTCTGGAAGCGCAAGAAGCTGCAGAGGTTACTGCTGGAGCACCTGGAACCCAACGAGAAGAGGTATTTTGGATTTGTGTTGATCTTTGATATCTTTCGATTCAGGGTGAAAATCGTGTCGAGTACGTGGTCGCAGAGGTACGACCCCCCCCGAAATCGAGATCCTGGCACGACCCCCTCTAACAGAGCAAATTAATTCAATTAAAATAAATCCTGCAAAACAAATCAAAAAAATTCTGCAAAATAATGCTAAGGACGCTTCATCTTGTCATCTATGCACGTCTTCCATCGCTGCATACTTTTGTGTACATACTGAAATATCGACTCGAGGAAAGAGGCATTAACTTTGTGTGACCTCAAGGCGAGGTTCGTTCAGAAACGCACAGAAATCCTGAAGACACGGGGTTGCGATTCAATCTTGATTCTTGCTTGAGTATATCAAAACAGCCGAGTGTATCAAAGGCCGATTCAACGGCAGCTGCGGCGCGATTGTCACTGGGTCAGATTTGCCGAAATTTCAAAAAAAAACGTCCGAATCTACACGCCGTGATGGAAAGGTTGCTTCCCATTTACACTTGAAGCAGTTGAGGTGAGTTAGATAGGCTGGATTCGGGAAGAAGTTCGTCACGATGTACAGCATTATTGCAACAGACATTGCAGTTTTACAAGCATCGAAATTGCTCTGGAAGCCTTTCTTGCAGAAAGATAGGGTCTGTCAAATTTCGTCGAGTAAATGTCGAGGAGGCCGGAATTTTCACGCGAGTTGTTGCCACTTCAAGAGCAATATATCTCTTATATTGTAAGATCCTGAAAAAGGGAAGATAGTTTTGGAAAGCGGAAGGTTTGCGCTTCCTGATGGTCTGTTTAGTTTTCTTCTACAGCTTTTTGGTTGAAGAGATAATTGCGTCGAGGATCTATCGAGGTCGGATCCGGCCACCTGGAAATCCGCTCCCTCATTCACCATTGCAAGTGTGACTCGTTGGCAACACTCGGAATGTGTAGAAAATATCTTTGAACGCAAACAATAAGAATAGGAGCAATCGTCATCATCCGATTTGGTATTGGTATAAGCCATGCATCCCTCCTCCACTCACAGTTGCAGAATCGATTGAAAGGTGTTATATGATGGGGACCTTCGAACGAAACTGTATTGTAGTAGACATAGTGTGTTGTGCTATTCCTGTAACCTAAAAAACAACTTCATTTGCCCAGCGCTTTTTCTTCACGGTTGTCGTTTTTCCGACAGGGTCCCTAACAACAGCGTCATTCTCAGCGAGGTATTAAGAAGGAGCGAGTGATAGGCGGAGGAGGTGCCTTTGCAGCGCGTGCGCACATGTGGCACTCTTCTTTGCGGGGATGCACTTTCATTCTTTGTACTGCCTTTAAATACGCCGCTTCTGAAGGTGGAGGAATGGAGCGACTGAACCTGCAAAGAAAATTTAATATCATGTTTCTCATGAGATATTTTCATTTTCTGCTGCGCTATACCCTATTACCTATCTGCACC